TCAACACACCAAGTTCAAGGTGCCCAAAAGCAAAGGTGCCTTCCTTTCCAACTTGCTTCTTTTGCTATCTCTGTCAATAGGATCATGATTCATCCTCCCAGTCACCAAATCTTAAAAGATAAAGTAACCTCTTTCTCCTAAAAAACCTCAGGTAACCTCTTCCTCTTATATATTCCCTTTTCATCTAAGCTATTCACACCAGGAGTCTCGTTTTTGTTAAGTGCCGTTGAGTCAATTCCAACCCATAGCGATCCTGTATAGGTTTCCGAGGAGCAGCTGGTGAGATTGAACCACCGACCTTTGCAGTCTGGCACATTAACCCACAGGGCCACAACAGGACTCCAATGAGTCTCATGTTGTTGTTGTTAAGTACTGTGGAGTTGGTTCCGACTCATAGTGACCCTGCACAGGGTTTCTGAGGCTGTAAATCTTTACGGGAGCAGAAAGCCTCATCTTTCTCCCATGGAACAGCTGATAGTTTCAAACTGCTGACCTTGCAGTTAGCAGCCTGATTCGTAACCACTACGCTACCAGAGCTATGTACCCCAAATTCAGCTATTCCAAAATACTGGCACCTGATTTCAGAAGCTAAGCGGAGTTGGAGACCTACAGGTACTCTAGGCTGTAGACCCCTGGTGTGGCACTGTGGGACAAGCACTGAACTGCTAACTGTAAGGTTAGCAGATTAAAGCCACCAGGCACTCCTCAGAAACCCTACATATAGTTCCTATGAATCGAAACCGACTCAATGGCACTAACAATTATCTCTACATTTTTTTCTATCCTTTGTCTCTTCTGCATTTTTTTTTTTTTAATTCTAACCTTATGGTATAGCGGTTAAAAGCATAGAATGAATTCAGATACTCCAGGTTCAAATCCCAGCAGCATTAGTTAAGTGGGCTTTGGACAAGTTCCTTTGCCTCTGGGGCCTTACTTTCCTCATCAATAAAATTAGAGTAATAATAGTTTCACCTCATAAGGCTATCATAAGGATTTAAATGAGATAATATGCATAATTAGCACAGTAATTACAAATAAATATTAGCAGTTTTATCATTTCCACCCTACTTCAAGCCTTCATCATCATTTGCCTGGGCTTTTGCAATGACTTCCTAAACTGGACTCTCTACTACTGTAGTTACTATTAGGTGTTCTTGAATAGGTTCCGACTCACAGCGACCCTACGTACACAAGAACGAAACACGACCTAGTCCTGTGCTGTACTCACAATCATTGCTATGTTTGAGTCCACTGTTGCAACCATTGTGCCAATCCATCATCTTGCTGAGGGTCTTCCTCCTCGTTTTTGCTAACCCTCTATTTACCAGTCATGATGTCCTTCTCCAGGGAGTCTGCTACTAGCCTCTCTCAACCACAATTTTACCCACTGTTCTCACAATCTTCATGTAAGAATAAAATTTTATCTAGGATTTTGACAACAAAAGCAAAAGGATGAACAAAGAAATGTACCCAGGTATATTTATAGTAGTAAATAATATTGATAAACTCAATGGAATGAGAAGGGCAAATTGTTGACAAGGTTGTAACAGTGGAGTTCTAAGCTGAGTTGCTAACCTTAAGGTCAGCAGTTCAAATATACCAGTCGTTCCTCAGGAGAAGGATGAGACTTTCTGCTCCCGTAAAGATTTACAGCCTCAGAAGCCCTACACAGGGTTGCTGTGCATTGGAACTGACTCAGTGGCACACCATCACCACCATCACCACCAAGGTTGAAACAATACGCTGAGATTATGAAGTGGGCCTTGAATTCTTTGTTAAGGATTCCAAAATTAATAAATTTAGTAAGGAAGACTGTCACAAAACATTTTGTACTTACCATTTGACACAAAGGATTTAAGGTGACAGAACATTTAAATTAAAGCTAACAGTAGAATGTTGTTGTTGTTAAGCGCCAATGAGTCGGTTCCGACCCATAGCGACCCTGTATAGGGTTTCTGAGGAGCAGCTGGTGAGCTTGAACCGCCAACCTTGCAGTTTAAACGGTTTGCAGTCAAGCTCACCAGCTGCTCCTAGGAAACCCTATACAGGGTCGCTGTAGGGTGGAACCAACTCTACGGTACTTAACAACAACCCTAAAGATGGCTTGATTTTTTAAATGACTAGCTGAATGTCATAACACCTTTAAAACTAACGCGGAGCTCTAGTAGCGCTGTGGTTACGAATTGGCTGTGAACCTTAAGGCCAGCAGTTCGAAACTACCAGCTGCTCCGCAAAAGAACAATGAGGGGTTCTGCTCCCATAAAGATTTACAGCCTCGAAAACCCTGTACAGTGTCGCTATTGGTCAGAATCGACTCAACAGCACTTAACAACAACAACAACATTAACCTTTGCTGCACAACAGTATCTGCAAGAAATAAAAAACATTTACAGCAAAAGAAATGAAAATCCTACCATTTTTTTCTCTGTTCACTCCATTTATTACTAATCACTCTCTTAAAGTCTTCTAAACTTGTTTTTCATTCTATTTTGAATGTGGGCTTTTATCCATTCCCACAGCTGCTAAGGCAAATGTAACTAAGTAACAGTAATCATCTAAACTTATCTGTATGAAAGTGAGTTAAGATTGTCACACAGTACAAAAACAAACAAAAGACGTAGCATATACTATCTGCACATTTTCATTGTTGTAGGAAAAAAAGGATTATCTTGCAGAGTGGTGTAGTATAAAAAGCAAATCAGAGTCAGTTAGAAAAACCTGAGCTAGAATAGATGTTTTCATCTTGGGTCAATGAATCTCTCTGAGCCTGTTTCTTCATCTGCAAAATGAGAATATAATTTACCTACTATACATAGAATAGCATGTCCATCTTGACCAATAACTTATCCTTTAAAGTCAGAAAGAATTCAAATAAATACTCATCTACACCACTTACAAACTACGTGATAGTAGGAAAATTGCTTAACCTCTCTGTGCACTGACTTTTTTTAAAAAAAATTAGGAAACACAATAACCATATCCAAGAATTCCAAATGTACAACTTTATGCAAAGCATATATTACAATGCCTGGCACACCACAGAATTTCATAGATACTAGATTCCCTTCACTTCCTTTTTTAATACATTTTTTTCAATGTGTATTCATCAAGTCCTCTAAAATCAAGTAAATTGCCCGACATACAGCCAGAAAGTAGGACATTTTCTGGTTAGTAGTGTTTTGTAAAGAATCCAGATCAAAATTTAGACATCTGTACTAAAAGAATCCTCTAACTGCAGGGGGAAAAAAAGATTTTTGTTATCTCCCCTGGCTTCCATTTAGTACAGATTACTTTTCGACATAGGCTACTGTGTAACTTTCTATCTTTTCTAAACACTTAAACAGCCTTCATTTCCACTCTAAGTAGATATTAGTTTCAATATGCTACTAAATTAGCACTAAAATATATCTGTTATTCTCACTGCTGGTATCATTGGTGCCAGAAATGTAAAAAGCAGTAATGTTTTGTGCTTCTTCTTAAGTGCTGATATTCTACCTACATATATGGCTTCTAGTAAATAAGTAAAATTGAAATTATCTCAGTGATTGATTATATATATATATATTCCTAATGCCAGGTGTTGAACCAGTAGCATCTTTTTACTTTAATATCAAAACATGAGAAACAAAGGCTATCATAAACATGCAATCATGTCAATGTGGTAATTTCCACAAAACGAACTCAAATACTTTTTCAAACATTAAGACTCATCTGCTATTCAATAAAATGTGCAAACCCGGGAAATGCTCAGCTGTATATTAATTTAGGTAGGAAGAGTAGGCTAAAGCATTTACCTACATATTTTCGGTGGTTCAAACCTACCAGCTGCTCCTAGGAAACCCTACACAGAGCCTCTATGAATGGGAACTGACTGACAGCATGTAACACAACAAAATTTTTCTAAATAAGCTATTCTCCACACACAAAAAAAAACAACCCTATATTTAACATCTGGAGTAAAGTTTTTAAAAACTAAGAAACTTTTCAATAAATATTTCTCAGAACCAAAACTCATCAACTAGGAACAGAAATCTTGCCAATTACTCTTAAAAGTTACTATACAGGAACATCTTAAAATGAAAAATAGCTCTCTGATTATTTAGCATTCTACAACATGGGCTCCAAAAGCAAAAGCTAAAAGGAATTGGACAGTCGGCCCTTTTCCTGTTATTTTACAAAGACTAGGTAAAGGAAGACGTTTTGAATTGCTTCTGTACCATATACAATTTCTGTGTCAACCGCACATTCCCTCAAAAACCTCTATTTATTAATGTTTTTAATTAAAAAAGGAGGGGTTTTGTTGTTGCTGTTGTTGTTTCTCTTAATTTGTGAGGCCAAAATAAGTTGTTTCAGAAAAAGGAATATGTATCACCGGTAATATCAAAGAAAATATAGCACACTACAGTCAACACACTAAATGTTCGTTTTAAATAACTGGCTTATTATTAAAGCTTGGAATGCGTGTGGAGAGATGATACCGGCTTAAAGGGCAACAAAAATTAATAGCTCTTGGACACAGGCCCCTTACATAGGAGCCTGGAGAGCAGCCATCATCACAAACGTCAAAACCTGGTGGATACCCTGCTTCTTCCAATAATAAAGAAACCCACTCAGATTTCCTGGTGGTGTGATCACAATTATGACAGAGGGGAAAATGTATGCAACGCATAGAGGAAAATAGCATAAATCAAAACCAGTCTATGTGAAAATATGACAACATTGCTGACAGAACCAAAAATTAAGAAATTTTAAAAACCACTTTTGCTCTCCAATCCAAGAAGTCTGGTCAAATGCCACCTGACCAGTTTAGGGCCCCTCCTTCATTTAAGACCAAGCCTGCTTTCTGCATTTCTCCTTTCTTTCTCCTCTCTTCCTAGGGTCGTCCATCAGATACCCCAGAGTCTGGACATAAAGACACCCATGGAGAATTCGATCATGGGAAACAAAAACCGGGATGAGTACATCCTAAGTAGGTGGGGTGACTAGTAGGCACTACTTACCTGTCCCAAAGGCTTTGGCCACCAACCAGGCCAGATTGCAGGCGATTTTGGCCCTGGCGAAATCATAGTGGTCAAAGGGTTTGATGGCAGGAACAATGAAGGTCTTTCGCACCTCCCTGGGGTCTGCAGCATCCCCCATCTTTCTCGGCAGCTCTTCGGGGTGTCCGGCTTCTAACCTTCACATGGTGAGGCCTCGCCGCCGCGGGGGTCGGGAGGGGAGGAGAGGCGGGATCAAACCATTGGGGCCGGGGCGAGGCCCGCCCGGGCGGCGACGGCCGACAAGCTCAGCTGTCCGCACGGTTCTCCGGCCGCCTCCCGCGGGAGCCGCCGCCGCTCCTCCTGGACATAGGAATTTGGCGACGCCGCGTCCGTCCCTCCGTCCGTCGGTCGGTCGGTGTGAGCGTCCGCCCCGCGCCCCTCCGAGCCACCCGCCCTGCGAGCGAGCGAGTGAACGAGGCCGCCTCCCCTTTGTCTCCGTTTAGTCACACGGGCTTGGGGGCGGGAGGAGGCTGCAAGGGCCGGGAATTTTGGGGGGTGGAATCTTCAACAATCACATTGTAGAAAAGGTCCCTGCCATCGCCAGGCCCGCACGCCCCCGCCCGCCTGCTTCCCTCCCTCCCCGCCGGGCGGGGAAAGCCCTCTAGATCCCGGCGGGCAGAGCAGGAAGAGCGGGGCGCGCGGCGGGGGTGGCCCACTCGGCGCAGCCCGGCCGGGGGCGTCAGGAGACGAAGCCCAACGAAACGTCAAAATCACTGCGGCAGCCCGGCTGCCCGCCGCCCGCGCCCTCCTCCGCGATCCCCGCCCGTCGCCGTCTCCGCCTTCTCCGGCCGCCGTCGCTGCCACCGCCCCCCGGCTCTTCCTCCCAGCTGATTGCGAAGGCAGCGGCCTGCGAGAGGCCGTAAATCCCGAGTTCTCAGTTCCTGTCTTATCAGTTGTGCCCTAGTATGTATATATATATTTTTTTGCCCCTTTGCAGCCGGGATCGGCAGTTCAGTCTCAGCAGCCGCCGCCACCGCCGCTGCCGCTGCGGTTTTCCGGCTGCGGCACTGGATGGAGAGAGCAGATGCGGGAACTGAGCATGCGCCTTCACGCGGCCCCGGCCCGCCGCGCCTCTCGCCCCCGCCCCGCTTGCTTTCTGCCGGGCGATCCCGGCCCCGCGGCCCGACCCACTGAGCATGCTCAGCCTCGCGCTTTTTGCCCCACTCCCCCCACGCCGTTTCCTCCCCCCAACCCCCTCCCACCACCACGCTCCGGCCGGGCGCGGTGAGGCTGATTTTCAGTCATTTCTGAGCGTGCTGGCTTGAGTGGACATCCTCCTCATCCTCTGGTTTGGGCTGCTGCTGCTGCTTACGCTGCTGAAAGAGGAAAGGGAGGGAAGGTAGGAGAGAAAAATGCCTAGCAGTAGCTTTATGTTTTAGTTTTTCAGTGGTTAAGCAAAGGGAATATTTATTACAATGCCTCTTCAGTGGCACACACTTTGTTGCGACCATGACGACTAATCCCATTAGTTCTCACAGTAACCCTAAAGGGGTAGATATTATCTCTTGATGATCACGAAATTATAGAAAGGGGAAGGGATTTAGGTCATATGGGGCTGAACTAGCATTGAGGATCCCTGTGGCTTCCAACCTGGATTAATGCAAGGTTATTACTTAACTGGACGCTCTCCACTGGAACTTTATTGGGAATATCCATCCATGCCAGCTCATTCCGTCAGAATAAAGCATAAATTGTTTCAGAGAGCAAACAACAGGCTCCATGATCTGGCCTCTACAGCCCTTTATAGCTTTTTTCCAGAACCGCCCTCCATTCTTCAAAAGAGGCATGCTTTCTCACATCTGCCGATCTGGCTTATTCCTACCTAACCTTCAGGCCCCTCCACAGTAGTCCCTTCCTCCAGGAGGCTTCCGTTACTGTTTGTGCGGGACACTGGGTTGTCATACACGTCTCTCCTACTGTCCCCAGAGCACCCTGTTGTACTTCTGGCAGAGCACTTGCCACACTGTATGACAATCATCAGGTATTTGTCTTTATCGCTAATAACAGAATCTATCTCCAATACCTATATAATGCCAACCCCATAGTAGTTGCCCAAGTAATGGGACTGAGAATGAATAGCGTTGTTGTTAAGTGCCCTCTGGTCAGTTCTGACTCCTAGTGACCCTAGATAGGGTTTCTGAGTCTTTGCAAGGCAGAAAGCCACATGTTTTCCCCCACGGAGAATAGTATTATCGTTAACACTTAATATACTTATATGACTTATTTAACCCTTTACAACAACTAATTTTAATACATTATAATAACTGTTTGATTAATATTAGAGACTAAGGAGTCCTGGTGTGTCGACAACGTAGGATAGGTACTGGACTGCAAACTATAAGGTCAACATTTCAAAATCACCAGCCAGTTCTCAGAAACTCTATACAGGGTCCCTACAAATCCAAATCAACTGGAAGACCGTTTAACTAAAAAGAAAATGAATAAGGGTGAATAATGAGTCCTGATGTGGTGCTGTAGGATAAGCACTGGACTGCTGCTAACCACAAGATCAGCGGTTCAAACCTACCAGCCACTCCTCAGAAATCCTATACAGAACCTATGAGACTATAAGTCCGAACCGGCTCAACCACATTTAACAACAACAAAGGATGAATAGTATCATAGTCAATACTTATTGCACACTTAATTTGATTCTTTCAACTTTTACATCATCTAATTTTAATAAGTGTTCAAAAATCCTATATTGTCCTCATTTCGTAGATGAACATCCTAAGGATAAAAAAAAATTTTTTGTTAAAGTTAAATTTTCCCATCTCACACAATTTGTAAGTGACAGAGTTTATTTGAATCCAAATAATTTCATTCCAGAGCCTATGATTTGAACTACCTTTTGTTATGTGCCATCACATCCAACTCAACAACACTGTGGGACAGAGTAGAGCTACCCCATGGGCTTTCTAGGCTATAATCTTTACAGGAGCAGATTATTAGGTCTTTTCTCCCATGAAGCCTCTGAGTGTGTTCAAACTGCTGCTGACCTTTGGGTCAGCATTGCTCCATGAAAAGTATTAAACATTGCTCCAGGAAAACTACTTCTTGTTGTTGTTAAGTACCATCAAGTCACTTCCGACTCATATCAACTCTGTAAAGGGTTTCCAAGGAGCAGCTGGTAGGTTTGAACTGTCAGCCTTTTGATTAACAGTCAATGCTTTTCCTACAGCACCTCACCAGGATTTTTTTTTTTTTAATCTGTTATCTGTCCACAAGATAAAAACAAGCCTACGAAGCATGAGCATGGGGGGCTTTGGACACTGGTATACAAAAGGGCAACTCATCCACAAGCAGGCCCCTTTGATCTTGTTTAATCCCTACATGCTTGCTTTCTTGAGCCTAGTAGAGCACCTATAGCTAATTTAGCCTTCCTAAGGAGCTCTGGTAGCGTAGTGGTTACGAATCGGAAGTTCAGCAGTTCGAAACTACCAGCTGCTCCGCGGGAGAAAGATGAGGCGATCTGCTCCCGTAAAGATTTACAGCCTCGGAAACCCTATTCAGGGTCGCTATGGGTCGAAACCGACTCGACGGCAATTAACAACAACAACAATGTCAGATAGGAAAAGAAAGTGAAAAGAATACTTTTTCACGCAACAGTTTGTCTCTGTTCATCTGGAACAACAGAGGAAGAGGAGTCAGGAATAGGAGAAAGAAATGGAATGTGTGCTAATTACCTCCTAGAACAATCTTCTCCTTTGCCATAAGACCAGAACTGAATGGTGCCCAGCTCTCATTACTGAACTTTCTTTGGTTTTTAATAATATTATTTTGTGCTTTCAGTGAAGGTTTGCTCACCAGTTTCGATTCTCATTAAGCAATTTCTACATGAATTGCTCAATTTCTACATACATAAAATACTGGTTACATTCTTTTAGATGCTTGAAAATTCTCATTGTTTCCAGTCTGGTTGTTTCCATTAATCTAGTTTCCCTGCTTCTTTACATTCTCATCTTTGTTTTAAAATTATTGACTGATTACATACAGGTCAATTTTTAAAGGAGCACCGTACTCACAGATGATCATTTTTATTCTATGATCCAATTTGTTATTTCACTAATATCACTGAAAAATGTTATCAAAGATTCTATAGAAGAATCCTGATAAAAGGGAAAATGAATTAAGAGAATTGTAACAGAATATTGAGAACAAATGTTTGATAACAAACTGGATAACTTAGATGAGAATGGATAAATTCTTAGAAGCATTCAATCTATACAAACAGACTCAAGAGGACATAGCAAATCTCAACAGAAGGATAAGTGAAAAGATCTAACCAAGGATTAAAAAAAAAATCCCAACCAAAAAGTCATGAACTAAATGACTTCATGTAAGAACTCTGTCAAACATTCAGAGAAGAATTGACACCAATACTGTTTAAACTCTTCCAAAAGATGAAGAAGGAGGAAATAGTCTCTGATTCATTCTATGAAGCCAACATAACCCTGATACACCATAGATGCCACAAGAAAAGAAACGTGCAGGCCAATATCTCTAATGAGTATACATGTAAAATGCCTCAACAAAATATGAGCAAAAAGAATCCAACAATAGCACATTAGAGTCCTGCATGATCATCAAGTGGGATTTAGTCCAAGAATCCAGGGATAGTTCAACATTAGAAAATCAATCAACATAGTATACCACATCAGTTGTCGATAGTGTCATCAAGTCGGTTCCAACCCATAGTGACCCTACATAGGGTTTCCAAGGAACAGCTGGTGAACCACCGACCTTGCAGTTTAAACGGCTTTGCAGTCTGGTGCATTAACCCACAGCACCACACCAGGACTCCACCACATCAGTAGAACAAAGGAAAATAACCGTGTGATCATTTCTATATATACAATAAAAGATTTTGATAAAATTCAACACCAATTTTTTTTTTTTTTTTTTTTTTTTTTACTTTATGTTGTGAATTGAGTGAAGGTTTACAGACAAGACCATCAGTTCTACATTCAACAAACAATACACTTTGTTTCATCACAGTGATGGCAATCCGCCCCCTCCCGGAAAACAACAGTTATCCTGCTTCCTCCCTGTGGCTCATATCTCCATTCCACTCATCCATACATTACTAGTGATGTTGTTCCCCTTATATACTGCTTGACTGAAAGTTGGACCACAGTGGTGAGTTTCTTTCCAGACCTGAAACACGTTCAGAAGGTTATGAGATAAGAAGACATTAGTGAGATATGGTTTAAATATGAAGGCACACCACTGAAATGGCTTATCCAATTGGTTTGCTATTTGATCAGTTCTCCCTTGGAACATTGCAACACATTTTAAGAGTTTTCCAGAAAAGGACCTTTTGCACTGTCCACTAAAGATGTGATTGAAGCTCATTTTGTGTCTTATATGAAA